CCTTTGTTGGAAAGGAATCCGGAAGGGAAGCTAGAGGAATCCATTGCCGCAGGAGAGCAGGGAAAAGAAAAGGAAAGTTTGCTTTATTTTTGAATTTCCAAAAACGAAAGCTGAAAGTTTTCTTTTTAAATTTACTTAATTAAAAGAATCTTTTTAATTAAGTTGCTTTAAATTAAATTAAGCAAATTTAATTAAGGATTTCCTAGCTGAGAAGGAGAGAAAATAAAGTGAATATTTATTTCTTTACTTGGAGGCGGAGAGGAATTTTTTTTTCTTTGCTCAAAGATTTCAATGTTTTTTTTCTCTCTTTTTTTTTCAAAAAAAAAAAAAGTTCTGAGTAAGGTTTTTTGCAGAGGAATTTTTTGCAGAAATTTTTGTTGCAGGAATAATTTTTAGATAGCTTTTTCTGGTGCAAAATTTGAGGTGGTGAAATTCGATGGAAATGATAACTTCGGATTGTGGAAAATCAGGGTGAAAGATTTATTGGCTCAACAGGGAATCTTGAAATCTTTGTGGGCAACAAAACCAGATGCCATGGAGGATGAAGACTGGGAAGAATTGCAACAGCGAGCGACAGCGACGATACGACTATGCCTAGCAGCCGAAGTTATGTATTACGTGATGAATCTGAAATCTCCAGGAGAAGTTTGGAAGAAATTGGAAACTCAGTTTATGGCAAAATCTTTGACGAACAAGTTGTATCTGAAGCAAAAGTTGTATGGGCTGAAGATGCAAGAAGGGTCTGATCTGGCGCAACATGTTAATGTCTTCAATCAAATAATCACAGACCTGTCACGGCTTGACGTGGTATTGAGGATGAAGATCGAGTGATGATTTTGTTGTGTTCATTGCCCCCTTCCTATGAACACCTGGTGAATACTCTGACATATGAGAAATATACTATCAAAGTTGATGAGATTACTGCAGCGTTGTTGACTCACAACCAGCGGAAGCAGAATGCAGGGGGAAGCTCTCACGGTGACAGTTTATATGTTAAGGGTAATCAGGATCGTGGAAGGAAGAAAGAGAATGAGGGTTCTCAAAGCAAAATTTCAGATCCAAGTCTAGAGGCAAAAAAGAAATTCATTGCTACAAGTGCAAGAAGCCAGGTCATATGAAGAGAGATTGTCCAAAGCTGAAGAAACAGACTGGGGAGAAAGGTGATACTTCATCAAAGTCTGTA